CAAACAAGACTGAATAGGGATCTCCAAAGTCAGATCCCAAGATATACCCTTGCCTCCCTCCCATGTCATTCAGGCTTCTTTCCAGGACGCCCACCCCCAGCCTTGAAAGTGAGCTCTCACTCTCAGGAGGCACCGACCAGCACTGGGGAAGGCAGCCGAGGCAGGAGCAGCCCGAGGACCCTGGCCTCACATGTAGTCTCCATGCTGACCGCTCTGTGACCTTGGACAAGGCACAGCCCTTTCTGGGCCTCCAGTCCTCTAAGCAGCCAAAAATCCCTGGGGTCCCTGCCAGGAGAGGAAACGGATTCCAAGTGGTCATGTCTCCCAGGGAACTCACGTGCTGTTTCATTGTGGGCCTCAGGAGTTCACAGCCCCAGGAAGCAATGTCACGGTGGGGCGGGGAAGAGCAGGCAGGGAGGCCCAGGAGGTAGGGGCAGGGTAGATATTTTGGAGCAGGCAATATCCCCTGATCACTGCCGGACAATGGTCCAGGGCAGCCATTGTGCCGGGAGTGGAAAATCCTTTTCTGACTCCATCTCCAAGGGCTGAAAATAGTCCAGGGTGGAGCCCCTGGGGACTGGGTTTGGGGCAGATGAGTGACTTGCCCAGGCTGGCCCATTGTTTCAGGATGGGACAGGGCTGGGACCGAAGACCTGGCTAAGCTGGAGCTAAGGCAGAGGCAAGGCCAGGAAGCCCCTGCTAACGGAAGAATCGCTGGACTGAGCCAAGCCCTACTGAAGATGCAGGCACCGAAGCCCAGCGAGAAGGGATTCAGCAAGTCACATGGTGTATCAGGGCTGAGGAGGATGAGAGTTTGACTTCTGGGGCTCATTTCCCCCCGTCACCCACCCCCCACAAGCACATTCCCCTTGGGAAGGCAAGAAAATTCCTCACCCTGCAGCCACTTCTGGCCAAGCTCCACCCACCAGCCTGCAGGAGACAGGAGCATCAGATTGGACTGGCTCCATTCAAGGCACAGTGTGGTGCCAATGGAGTCACTTTACCTCTCTGGTCACTTGATGCCAGAGAGACTCACTACCCCCACTCTAGTTCTCAAAACTGAGAGCTCAGCGGGCTTTGGGTATGCCTGGAGGAGCAGCTGTTAGCTGTGCCTGTGATGAAAATCTAGATCCCTGATGCCCTAATTGAGATAGGGAGAACTGGAACGTGGGAGGCAAGTTCTCCAGAGCGGCCCAGAGAGGGAAGGCAGGTGGCCTCAGATCACACAGCAAAAGCTGCCTATTTATTGCCTGCTTAGGCCCAGATCCAATCCAGGACTCCCACACGGGAATCTTGGTTGAACCACGGAGTGGCTGCAGCACCCCATGGCAGGCACCATTAGTCAGAGAGAAATGGCTTAATCTGCTTCCACGGGTGGGTGGGAGCTCTCTAGCCCAAAGGGACTGGCAGCAGAAGCTTGACATCAAGGGCATCCCCCTCCTCCTCCTCCTCCTCCTCCTCCTCTACCTCCTCCTCCTCCTCCTCCTCCCTCGGTCCATTCTCCCCACTGCCCTCCCACGGCCAGACATCTGGACCAGGTTCTGTAAACACACGGGCCCATGTGCCTGAAGGCTACACGGTGCCAGGTTGGGTAGAGGGTGGTCCCAGCCCTTACTCCAGAAAGGACCTGCTCCCCTCCTCCTACACCCCGGGAAGCCTTGGCCACAGGAGACCCGTGGTGCTCACTGGCCGGACACGCTGTTCTTTTCTTCAAATAACTTATACTCATGTGGTTACATATTAAATTATGTCAACTCCATGAAGTCAGGGTCTGGCTGCTTCGCCTTCATAGCCTCTTGCACAGTGCCTGAGTGAGAACGTTTGCCATGTGCCAGGCCCTATTCTAAGTGCTCCATGTGTATTAACTCAGGTAAGCCTCCCAGTGACCTGCATGGGGGGCTGTGCTTCCTTTTAGAAAAGAGAATACCAAGGCACTGCCAGGTTAAGTAATTTGCCCAGGGCTCCAGGGCTGGAAGAATTGGAGACCATACTCAAACCCAGATGGTCTGGGCGTAGAATCTGTGCTCTTAACCCCATTCTCGTCACCTGGCCCTCCTTCCCTATAGGGGTTTCGAGTGGCCAGGGAAACTGGAAAGGGAACTAACCTGGGCCTCAGACGGACCTGGGCTCAGTCTCGAGTCACTTAACTGCCTGTATAACTTGGAGCAAGCCGTCACTTCCCGGAGCCTGTCCCCTCATCTGCTGAGCGGGGATAAGAATGTCTATTTCACACGGTTGTGGTGAAGAAATAGTGACATAATGGATGGGATAGGGTCTGGCATGGTGCCTGGGGCATAGATTTGGAAATGAGTTCCCTTCCTCGTGCACCTCACTCGGAACAGATCAGCTCAAATCTGCCTTGACAAGGGGCCTAGACCGGAGCAAATTGTGTCTGGGGAGTATGTTATTCAGGGGCTCCCCTAGCCTTCGAGGGTGAGAGTGGGAATGTCTCTGGGACTCTCCCTCCCTCATGGGCCCTGGGATACCTGCTACCCAGGGCAGAGACCCCTCTGTGCAGGGTCCCTGCCCGGGTTGCAGGGAGCTCCTTGAGAACAGCTGCTGCAGGAAAGTCAGCAGGCATTTACTTCCCCCACCCCACTCTTACCCCAACCCCCTGCCCCCTGTTCCTGGCCTCTGTCCACTTGGGGCAGAGGTGACAGCAGGATTCCCACTAAGGCACCAACCTGCAGTAAAGGAAGCAGGGCAGCAGGGCCAGCCTGAGCCCTAGGCATATGTCCAGGCGCCATCTGACCTCGTGAGTGATCTTGGGCAAGGCCCCGCCCCTCTCTGGCCTTGAGTCTGCAGCTGGGCTGGATAATCCCTGGGGTCCCTCCCTGTCAGGGGGCTGTGCCCTTTCACAGTGGCCTTCAGGAGTCAACAGCCTCAGGAAGTGATGTCAGGGTGAGGAGGTGGGAAGGTGGGGAGGGGCAGGAGGCCCAGGAGTAAGAGGAGATATTTTGAGAGCAGGCATGTCCCCCCATGTCACTGTTGGACAATGGTCTGGGGCTGGGAGTGGAAAATCCTGATCTTGCTTGAGCTGAAAATAGCACAAGGCAACAGGGTCAGGAACCTCACCCACCAGGCGGGTGGCCTGGGCACTGAGCTGCAGGCCAGATGTCCACACCGAGCGGGCCAGGTAGTCCAACTGGGGTCCAGAGGTGGGACCCTGGGCCTGTCCCTGGGTTCCTTAGGGTCTCCATTCCCCACTCCCTGCCACAAGATTAGGGGGTGAGTCAGCCACTCTGTGTCCCGTAGGTCCTGTGTCCTTAGAAATCTGCAGGCAGCTGGGTGAAGGAAGACTTCATGGGGCTCGGCCATAGTGTTGTCTCCATGCGCTGTGGTGTCTTGGGTTTTTGGGGTCTCCAGGGTAGCTGCTGGAGGGGTTGGTGGGCAAGATATGAAAAGAATAGGGACTAAGGGACCTTGGGCCCACGGTGTCCACAGTCCCACCCCCAACCACTGATGTACTCTCAAGAGTCCCCAAAATCATGACATAGAACCCCTGATTCTGGATCTAAGAAGGACTAAAGGAGTCAGAGCCCAACATTTACACTTCTGGCCAGCACAGCATCTTACCTGGGTAGGGTGTCCCTATACCCTGGGGTGGGTTTCAGCCTGAACAGCAGCCAGTAGGAAAAAGACAGACTCAAACCTACAGGAAAGGCGCAAAGACAACCCGAAAGAGGTTGTCACGAAAAAAGTTCTTAGGGACTCAGGTTACATTAACAGAAGTATAAGACCTAGAATGTGGGAGGTAAGCCTTTAACTCTATTCTGGGCAGGTCACCCACATTGTGCCATGCAGAGTAATCATTTGGGTCATGGCTTGTGATGGGTCCCTGTCACATGAGGAGCTGAGAAGCTAGTCTCTAAATAGAGCAACCTTTGGGGGTGCCCCTTTTTGCCAAGGTGGAGTGGGAAGGGTGGAGAAGTCATAGGAGGCTGGGAAAGTGAGGCGAGGAAAGAGCCTTATTTCAAGTAGAGTGGGCCCTTAGGGAGGGAATGAGTCCTTATCCTTGAGGTTAACTGTGAGGCCTGTCAGTTTTGCCCCGTCCCTGCCCAAAGGCTAGTGGTCCCTGTCCAGCTGAGCTCCACAAATCTCTAGAGTGGTCCTGGCTGGACCCAGAACCTGGTATAGGTGAGACCCATCTCCCCCACACTAAGCTCTGACCCAACCGGAACACCAACCATTTTGCCATGTAGCTGGATTTTCCACGAAGGCAGAGGACTGGACAGAAGAGGAGTGAGTCTCTCCCACACTACTCAGTGCTAAGGGAACCACATGATCAGGGCAAGGGGGGAGCCCTGACTTGACCTCCTTGTGACCCAGCCCCCACCTCATTCCTGCTTTTAGCTTGGGCACCAGCTGCCCAGCCTGCTTCCAGTTCCTGCACACCCTGCTCTCCTGGCCCCATGTCTTTGCCCAGGATGCACCCTGCACTTGGACGTTTCCAATGAACTGCTTTCCCCAGAAACTATAGCTTAGGAGTCCATAGCCCCAACCATTCAGCATTGTCCAGTGATGTGTTGGAACAATTTGTACTGTTTGCAAGAGCCAATTGTTAAATTCTCAGGAATTCTGCAGAAAGTTGACATTATATTGGTAGCCTGAAATTTGCCATTGTAGGAATGTTTGTACCACGGCAATTGGCAATGCTACAAATAAGGGGTTCCCCTCACCCACCTGGAGGGCCAGTTAAATGTTTTAACATTTACCAGTACATGATTGCCATTAAATCCTAAACTGGGGGATCCCAAGGACTGGGACCCCACCTGACTCCTCTCTGTGCCAGTAGAGGTAGGTACAAAAGCCAGTTAGCTTTAAGGTGGGGGCTGACCTGGGGTCTAGAGAGGGGACACCTGATATGAGACCACCACGGAGGCAGCTAGTGGGAAGGCAGGTGGCTGATGAGAACAGGTTGGAGAAAGAAACCTATTGTGCTTGGTGAGAGCTTCTCAGGCTGCATCCCCATCCTCCAACCACACAATAGGGCACAAGCATAGCAGACAACAACACTTTTAGTATGAGTTACAGCCTCAAACTGGCTCCCAGCCCACGGGAGCCTCCAGATGGGTTTATGAATCAGTTTCCAGATGTTCATCTCTTGGGCTGGGGGTACTTCTCATTGCTTAGTCCACTGTGGCACCCAGACCGGCCCCAGTTCCCCTGTGGGAAGCCCTGGCTCAGCACTGGCTGCAACCAGGGTCCTCTAGTCAGCCTGGGACCCCACCCCTCCCAGGTAGCTCAGGCCCAGAGCCTCTGTGTGACGTTGGTAAGTCACTTGCCTCTCTTGGCCTGTTTCTCTATTTGACTTGGTTCAGCAGGGCTCTAGCCTAGGTCCCTTGGCAGGCACGGCCAGCTATTTTTGTGGGTGAGTCAGGCCCTGAACCCTTTCCTTCTTGAAACCTTATTCCCCAATTGACACATACAAATGGCGATGGGGCTGTGGGGGACTGTTGAGCTCGCGGACCACAGAGTGTCCTGAGCCCCTGCCGAGTGACAGAGCGTTGGGGTCATGGCTCCCTTGACCATCAGCATGAGTCATGATGATCCATATCTGGGGAGACCACCTCATTTGAGCAAGTCATAGCCCCTACAGCGTCCCCCATACAAGCTTGCACAGGCCGGAGGGGTTTAGGCCTTACAGCCTGATGTCCTTAGTGTTCCCACCACCAGCCAACGGGGACTGCCTGCTGGAGTTCTCACTGCTGGCTGACCCGTCTTCTGCCTTGGGGTCAGTTCTATGAAACTTGCGCAGGTCCAGCCTGCGGCTAGCCTGGGCAGTAGGAGTGGGATTCGTGGGTGGCTTGGAGTCCCGGGCAAAGCGCACAAGCCTCTGCCCAGCCAGGAAGTAGAGCACGGGGTCAAGGCAACTGTTGGCACTGGCCAGCGGCCGGGTGATCTTGTAAGCCATGTTGATGGCGTTGAGGGTGTGGCAGCTGAGGTCCAGCGAGCGGAAGGAGTAGTAGAGGGTCCGGGTGACGTGGAAAGGCAGGAAGCAGAGGGCGAAAACCGCCAGGACCACGGCGATGGTGCGCACGGACTTGCGCTTGGCGCGCGGCAGGCCGCCCGCGGTCCCGTAGGCCGGCTTGAGCAGCCGCCGCGCCATGAGCACGTAGCAGACCAGGATGGTGGCGAAGGGCACCGCGAAGAGCAGGCCCAGCATGACCGAGATGTAGACCAAGAAGTGGCTGAAGAGATTAGGGGCCGAGGTGTCGTGGCAGGTGATGCGGTTGCCGCGTGTGCTGGTGGTGACGAAATAGAGCACGGGCGCTTGGCAGGCCAGCACCAGCACCCACACGGCGGCTGCCACCCGCCGGGCGTAGCGCGCCCGGCCCCAGCGCAGCGAGCGCAGTGGGCGCAGGACCCCCAGGCAGCGGTGCACGCTGATGCAGGTGAGGAAGAGGATGCTGCAGTAAAGGTTGGTGTAGAAGAGGAACCGCACCAGCTTGCAGAGCACCGTGCTGAAGGGCCAGTGGTCGCCGCGGGCGTAGTAATAGACCAGCAGCGGCAGGGAGGCCGCGTACAGCGCGTCGGACACCGCCAGGTGGAACATGTAGGTGGTGGAGGCGTTCCATGTCTTGAGGCGGCAGAGGAAGATGTAGAGCACGGCGACGTTCAGACACAGCCCGAGCACGCACACCACACCGTAGGACACAGGCAGCAGCACGTACTTGAAGTCCTCGTTGAAGCGGCACTTGTAGCCCAGCTCATCCCCATACCACGTGTCATTGTTGGTGCCGTTCCAGAGGCCCGGGCCTGCGGCCATTGCCCTGAAGGAAAGGGGGCGGGGTGGGGAGAACAGACATCAGGGTTTTGTCCAGGGCTCATCAAAGAGGCCTGACACACCCACCTGACCAGGGATACGAGGGACCTCAAGTATTAAGCAGATTCCTTTGGTTAAGATCTGCCCAACCACGTTCAAGGCCTTCTGACCTGGCTCCCTGGACCCAGAGGACCCAGAACCTCAGAACCCTGGAACCTCAAAAATGCATGAGAATGCATGAGATCCATAAATATCAGGATCATACAATTCTAAAACTTGAGAACAGATGCAGGCAAACTACACACTAAAGGTCAAATCCAACCCAATAAAGCTTTATTGGAATACAGCGTATCCATCTGTTGTTTACAAAGAACTGAACAGTTTCGACAAAGACCATCTGTTCTGCAAAATCTAAAATCCTTACCACCTGGCCTTTTACAAAAACAAAGTTTGGCAACTCTATTCTAGAACCTCAGGAGCACAGCATTCTAGATCTGGGATTCTGAACTCTAGAATTGGAGGATTCCAGAGGGTATAATTTCAGATTCATGGACAGGGGCCCTTGAGGCCTATGGACTCCACCTCACACCCAGTGCCCCTTGCCTTCTGAAGCGTTTCTGGCCAATGGGCAGCCCATACCTTCCTGGGGGCATCAGAACATTCTTTCCTTTAGCTTATTCTTTGGCTCCCTAGGGAGGTTCTGGCCCGGTGCCTGATATTTTGGTTTTGAGGAAGTATTTCCAAGGGTCTCCCTCTTCAGTCACTCATTCATTTTCTCAGCAAATATTTTTTAGAAACTTTCATGTTCTGGCACTTTCTGCATCTGCAAGCTGCTCTCTGGAGTGTGAGTCTACCAGATGGGACAGTGACCCTCCTGAAGATTCCAGAGAAGTCTGGGGGGGGAGGGATGGGAAGTCTGGGGACTTCATTTGTGGGTCAAATTCAGCTTCCTCCAGGCTTACCCAGCTTTCCTTCCACACTATCACAATCTTGAGGTTCCCCTGCCTTGTCCCTAGTGGGTATATAACACACTCACAGGGCCTGACTGCCCAGTGAGCACCTGGAGAACAAGGTATGCACCTTCCTCCTCTCCAATGTGACCAATCAGATCCCTCACTCATCTGGGAGGCAGGAGACAGATATCCCAACATGGAGGGTGATGATGTGCCCAAAGGTCCCAGAAGGCAGGCTGGAAATCCTAGCAGGAGTCCCCGGTGGACAGTTTGGGACAAACACAAAGAATAGCTTTCTAGCCCAGCCAGTGTGGCTCAGTGGTTGAGCATCAATCCATGAACCAAGAGGTCACCAGCTCAATTCCTAGTCAGGGCACATGCCCAGATTGTGGGCTTGATCCCCAGCAGGGGGTGTGCAGGAGGCAGCTGATTGATGATCCTCTCTCATCACTGATGTTTCTATCTCCCTCTCCCTCACCCTTCCTCTCTCTAAAAATCAATAAAAACATATTTTTTTAAAAAGAATAATTTTCTTTTTTTTTTGTTTTTTTTTTGTTTTTTTTTTATTGCTTAAAGCATTACAAAGGGTATTACATATATGTCCTTTTTTTCCCCCCCGCCCTTGACAATACCCCGGCTTCCCCTACCCCCCAGTGTCTTATGACCATTGGTTATGCTCATATGCATGCATACAAGCCCTTCAGTTGATCTAAAAAGAATAATTTTCTAACAGTGAATGGGCAGAGGGGGTTGACCTTTTCAAACCGTATTACTCTATGTGCTTTATAAATGTCACCTCTTTCCATCCTTACAACATGCTTCTGGGAGCCAGGCTATCATGCCCAATAAAGAGACTGAGACACAAATCATTCAAGTTATTTGACCAAGGTCACAGGCTACAATTCCTATCCAGGAATCTGAAGGTGCTATCAGAGGGAGATAGTGAACTCTCTTCTATGAGGTTGTGCAAGCAGAGTCTTCAGGAAGGCTCATCCTGCGTGTGGGGGTGTGTCTGGGAGGACACAGAGGGCAGATCATGTGTGAGTCCTTTCTACCCCCTGCTGGGGATCAAGCCCACAATCTGGGCATGTGCCCTGACTGGGAATTGAGCTGGTGACCTCTTGGTTCATGGATAATCCAGGGCTGTACAATTCCCTTCATGTTGGAAACTGGGGTCCCGAGAGGCTGGGACTTGGGGATTCTGTCAGGCCAGCGATTTCCACTCCTTTAGACCCTAAGCTTCATGCCCAGCCTGGCCTCTCAGCAGCAGTTCAAGGCCCTTGACGTTGAGGTTAGGGGGGCTGAAGGACACGTAGGTGCCTCAGTTTCCCTTATTTCCCAATACTCCACTACCCCCCACCCCAGATCTTTCCTGTCTCCTGTTGTCAGCAAAGGTGCAACCAGGAGGAAGGGAGCCTATACTGGTGACCTCCCTCCCATGGTCATAGGTTCCTTCCTAAGGAGCCACAGCAGATCCAGAGTGAGGAGGCAGGGAGAAGTCTATGTGGTACCAAGTTGAGAGAGAGCAGGGATGGAGGGGCTCTGGAAGGGCTAAACTGCGGGGATCCCTCTTGCCTGGGGCCTGGACTCAGGACCTGGCATTAGAGCATTTCCTGCCTCCCACCCCTGCTCCAAGCAGCCCACTGTCGCCTCCACCTTGCTGTTGGAGCCACTGTATCAGCCTCTCTGCCTCCAGCCTCAGTCCTCCCCAGTCCAGAGGGGTCTTTGTAAAAGACAAAGTCATTTCCCTGCTTGAAGCCCTCCTTGGCTCCTGCCTGCTGTCAGGAGAAAGCCTCTGCCGACCTCACCTCCCCCAACCATCCTCTGTGACCTGCAGTTTCCTGAATGTGCCCAACACTTCTCCTCTCTCAGCCTTAGTTCATGTTGCTCCTTCAACCAGGAATCCACTCACACCTTCCATATCTACCTGTTGAAATTGCAACTCTTTATCCTTCAGAGCAGCAAGCCCCAGTGATAACAAAGAACCTGGCCTCTGGAGTCAGACCTCCTAATTCCACTTCTATAAAATGGGGTGATACTTGGAATCTATATCACAGAACTGCGTGAGGATTAAGTAAGTAATTGGTATAAAATGTTTGGAGCAATGCTTGGCACACAGTAGGTATGCTGTGATGTTATAAGCTTCAAGGCTCAGCTCAGATATGGCCTTCTCTTGAAATCTTTGGGATGATCTCTCTGGCCACTGGTGGAGGAACAACAGGTCTTGACTTGTGGTGGGCCAGGGGAGTGCTGATGAGCCCGAAGCTAGGGCCAGGCCTAGGACCTCTGAGGGGAGAGATCTGAGAGCTTTTTGGGAGGAAGGCTGGAGAGACTGGCCCAGAGGAAGTCTGGATGGAGTTGGGCAGGAGAGAGAGGCAGACAAGAGGCCCGGCTCAGGCGTTGGGAGGAGGAGCAGGAGAGGGGAGAGGAGGGATTCAGTGTCAGACATTGTAAGTGTGGGGAGCCCTGAAGGGGTATGGTGGGATGTGGGCATGGGCGAAGGCTGGGGCCATCAGATCTGACACTTTGGGAGATGGGCTGGGAGTTGCTGACTCACAGAAGCTGCAGGAGGAGTGTGGAGGCCCGAGCATGAGGCTGAGAGCCTGTAGAAGGGCCACCAGCTTGGGGAGTCCAGCCCTGCCACAGAACCTCAGTGACATCAGCCATTTCCTGCCCTCCTGAGACTCAAACCTCTCATGGGCTGAATTCCCTGGCCTTGGAGAACTGCGGCCATAAAACCTCCCTCATGAGGTCTTCTTCCCACTGGAGATAGGGAGAGTGGTCCCTCCAGGACACCCCGTCCCACCTCTGAGCTGCTCCTTTAGCTCTAGCCCCAAGGCAGGTGTCTCCTCAGAGTCGGGCCAACATCCCATTGCTCTGCACAATGCTCTTGCTAATCACTTGTGGTGGAATCTCTGACACTAATGAGAGGGGTGGAGACTTCCTTAAGTTTCCAGTGAACCGAGGGAGCTGTCTTTTCCACCTGCTCTAAGATATCCCGGCCTCCTCCCTCCCAGACCAGCTGGGGATTCCATTGCCATGGCCCCCATCCAGACTGACTCTGCCCACGCCCTCCCTCCACGGGCTGGCTCACCAGCCTGTGATTACACCTTTCCTGCCTCCCCAGCCTTTGCTTACGGAGATAGCCAAGTCCCCAGCCCTGTCTTCTGCCTTTTCTGACCTCCGATGCCCTTGGGGCCTCACTCCCTGCTCTCTTGGGACTGGCTTCTGCCTAACTTTGTCTAACACCACTCACCAGCCCCTCCATGTCCAGTTCTGGCTGGCCCTGCCCTGAAGAGCTCCTGGTCTGGAGGGAGCTATGAGCCATGCAAGTGCCCTACCAGGCTTCCTTGCCTTTGTGCGTGCTGTTCTTTGTCTGGAAACCCACCCACACTGCACTCCATCCTGCCCATCCCTCAAGGTTCTTTTCAAATGTCACCTCATCTCTGAAGCTGTCCTCCTAACATTACCCCCAGGCATTCCTCATAGCCTGTTAGTAATTTGTCCATCCACCTTCTACCGCAACACATTCCAGATACTCCCAGAGGACTAGGACTATCTGATTCTTTTCTCTGTTCCTATCCAGCAAGAGCCTGATTTAACACGTTAAACGCCCAGCCTGTTTTGTCTTCCGGACAGAAAGTATAATGTCAGTCATGGGGCTTAACATGTTAAAGCAGGTATAACATGAATGAGATAATGAATGAATGAATGAATGAATGAATGATTCAAGCACAAAAGGCTATGGGAGCCCAGAGGAGGATGACTCTCCTTTCCCTTATTCCTCTGAGAGCCCCCCCAGAGGACAATGGCACTTAAAGATTTCTTGGCTGCTGACCCTGGGTGGCCAGGAGTCAACCCAGCTCTCCTGGGGCCCAGCCCACCTAAGGTTCCCGGACTGTCTCTCTTTCAAGAGGTGCAGAGAAGGCCCTGCCCTTCTCTGGACAGAGGGAGGGTAACTGGACCCAGATATTCTGGAGATGGGTCAGCGTCTGAGCTAACCACATTCTTTTATTTCATCCACCTCTGGCTCAGATCCTAGGCCAGTCCGGGTCAGGAGCTCCTGACCCCGGAGCCCCATCCCCTCACTTTGTAAAGGTCAAGCCTGGGATGAGCAGCCTCCACACAGCATCTCAGTTGTATTCCCCACCCTCATTCCTCAGCAGATACTGCCACTGAGCTATTTGTTCAAGGTCACACTGCCAGGAATTGGAAAAATTGGGCTTAATACCCAGGGCTGCCTGGCTCCAAAGCCTGAATTTATCACAGCCTGGGATGAGGGAGCAGGGCAGGGATCCCTTTGATCTACCCCCGGTTCAGTGTATACACACACATGCACACACCTGCCCCAACCTCCAGTGGACCCCGCCCTCGCACGTTCCTACCTGACCGGCCCTTGCTCTCGCTGTCAGGATGCTCAGTGCCCGCTCAGGTTCCTCACTCATGAATGCACAGGCTTGGACAGGGCTGCAGGGAACTCTGCAGGAAACAGGAAAAACAGGTCCCCCGCCTGGGGCCGCACCCAGCTTCCAGCATTTCTCAGGGTAGGCAGTGTTGTGGGCTCCTGAGACACAGGGAGGTGGAGACAGTGTGGGCTCTGGATCATGGGAAGCCAGCCAGGCCAAGCCCTCCCGGGGCCACCTGCTCTGCTCCAACCTTGGCCTGAAAGAGGCAGAGAGGTGACCTGGTGTGCTGGTCCCAGTAGGGATCTCCTCTACCCACCAGCCATCCACGCTCAGCTTACAGGCTCCAGGGATGGCTGTTCCCGGCCTCCTTCCCCAGGAGCCCCCTTTCACAGGAAGGTGGCTCTGCCAGAGAAGGTCTCCCCGTGTCCTGCAGAGCTGAGCTGAGCCTCTAAAGCCCCCTCCCTTGATTTTGGTTCTGTGCTTCGGCCCTACAACAGGAAACAGTCAATACCCTCCTTGCCCGGTATACACTTGACAGTACTTCAGCCAACCCAGTTTTGCTCAAGCTGAGTCTCTATCTGGAATATCCCTTTTCCCTCTAATCATTCCTCCATAGGTGTTGTAAACACACATGAACATTCACAGGCATGGACACACCTAGATACACAGCTACACGGAGATGTATACCATCACACTGAGACGGACACGAAGTGCACACACACAGTCCCAGTCAGAGCCTGAAATAGCCTTTAGAAATCAGTGTGCCAAACTCCCATTTGACAGAAGACATTGAGACTCAAGGCCTCACAGTAAGTCAGCGACGCAGGCAAGATCAGAAGCCAGGCCTTCTGGGCTCTGGCCCTGGTTTTTGTCTTGCCTGGGAGCCCCTCACACACACCAGGCACAGGGCTGCATGAGGGTGTGGTTACCTAGTAGACCCTCTGTGTGGACAGGTCCCAGCATCCATCAGAAACTCAGACACATCACAGGGGGAAAGAACATCCCTTTTCTGTCACTTTCATTTCTCCACAATGGGGAAGTGGGGTTCGAGATAGCCGAGGCCAGGTCCCCAGGCTGGGGTGCAGCACAAGCGTGGCGGAAAGTGGAGAGAGGAGATGGGAGGCTGCAGGAATAGGACGGAGTAAAGGCACCGGGAAATAACCCTGGGCACTGTGTTCCTAGTGGGCCTTGCCTCAGGATCCCAGGCTGACCTGGGCCAGTGGGCAGGTAGCTATGTGTCAATCTGCTTTGGAGTCTAGTGACAAGATGAAAGAACTTCACCTTTTCACCCGACTCCGCCCAGAGTCACACCCTGTCTTCTCAGGAGAGGCCTTCACTCAACAGACTAAGGTGGAGCACAACTCTTTCTCAAAGCCACCCTCCGATTTCTGAGAAGGGTCTCCACCATCCATCTTTCCAGGCTTCAAACCTCTAATATGCCCTTGACAACCTCTCTCTGTCCCACCCATGTGAAAACCATCACTCACCAGCTCCTGTCAGTTCAACCAGTACAGTGACTCAGGGATGGCATTTCTCCCACCTCATGGCCTTAGGCCTGCATTTCTCCTCCACATTGTACCAACCCCCTCTCTGGTCCCCTTGCCTCTACTCCTGCCCTCCTGGCCATCTTTTGTACGGCAGTCACAGGTCTTCTTAAAACATGAACCTGACCATATACTGTGGAGCTCAGGACCCTTCCATGGCTCCCTATTACCCTGACTATGTCCAAGTGCCTGAGCCTGACACTCCAGGCCCTGCCAACCCTCCAGACCAGTGGTCGCCAACTGGTGGTCCTCGGACCACTGGTGGTCCATGAGGTCCGAAAGGTTGGCGACCACTGCTCCAGACAGCCCACCCTCTCTGCCTCTGCCCTCATCTTCCTGTGCCAAGCACAGCAGAAGCAGTCTCATGGTCTATCTTTGCTCAGGAACACAGCCCTTAACTTCTAACAGTAATATAACCAGAGAGGAGTGCTTTCTCTGCCAAGTTCCATCTTTGGTGGCTTCACAGATCCCTTCTCATTTAATCCCGAGGAGCTTAGAGAAGCAAAACAACCTCTCCAAGGTCACAAAGCTAGCAAATGGCAGAGGAGCCTGGTCTGTCTGACTTGAGGAGCTGTGCCCCTGACCACCACCTCCTTCCCTCCAAGGCCTAGGTTCTCCCCTCCAGGAAGCTCCCTGACTAGCCCTCGGTGAGCCCCATGGCTCTGCTTTCCTGGTTGGCTCTCTACCACAGGGAATGCCCTACAGGCAGGGCCCAGGATCTACTCTAGGTGTGAAGCAGCCATGATGGTTATTGTACCCATCTCACAATAACTAAGGCCAGAAAGTGCCAAGCCAAACATGCAGAATACCTGCCCCACTGACTTGGCTCTGCCTCTACCCACCCTGGGTCCCAGGCCAGTGCGCCCAAGGCCGGGGGGAAGGGCTGGGCAGTTCCCAGGCCAGCTGAGGAATTTCCAGGGTGGTTAGAAGACATTCCAGCTCTTCCACTAGGGTGGCTCTGGAATGTACCCGCTCACCCACCCACCTAGCTGGCCCTGTCCAGACTGGAAGGGGATTGTGACCCATCACTGTTCTGGAAACCTCTGCTGCCTGCTTCTGCTGTGAAGGGAAGCAGAAGACCTGGGCCTGGAATATCATCGAGGGACAGGGGAGGGCCCCAGGCAGGTGGAAAATCCCAGTTCTGTCATTCTCAGCTGTGGGACCTGGACAAGTCTCCTCTCCACAACTTAAGTTTCAACCCCTTGCCATCTAAGAACAGTATCTTAGGAAGACAAGAGGGGCAGGAAACCCACAGGAATTTGGGGCACAGTAGAAACGTCACAGATCAAGTTTCCCACACTGAAGGCCACCCTCAGGGGCCCCCAGCAGGAACTTGATCCCACCACATTTCTTCACTCACTCACCCTTTTACAGAGGTTGTCACATTGATGCCTGTCCCTGTATAAGGCTCTTGGGATTCCAAGGTGGGTCACTGTCAAGGTTGGCGAAGAAGGGGTAGGTAGCACATGGGAAAAGACCCAGAAATAGGTAATGACAACTCAGGGTGATCGGGGCTGAAGAAAGCAGAGGCAACAGGGCTAAACCAGATAAGAGGACCCCTAATAGGAATGGGGAGGTGGTCAAGGAAGGCTTCCTGGAGGAGAGGACGCCTGATCTGTATTTTGGAAGGGGTCAGGTGAGCGAAGAGAGAAGAAAAGCAGAGTGAGCAAAAACCAGGGCAATAGATCACACAGTATGTTTGGGGAACTGTTAGTCATCCCTGTGGATTGAGGGGAGAAGAGAGGACAAGGCTGGGTTAAAAGACAGGGAGCATCTTGGAAGTCATTCTCTGTCCCCTCCCAAATCTCACCCACAGAGCTGAAGGCCAGTGGGCCCCAGCCCTGCCTGGAGTGCTTTCTACACCAGAAGCACTGGACTCATCTGGGGAAGTAGCTGAGGGGGTAACCTCAGATGTTATCGACAGGTGCAGTTGCAAAGTACAACCTCTGCAGCCTCTCCAGGAAGCCCTTGTGCTCTGCAGCCCCCCTGGAGGCACTCTCCCTCTTGGGAGCCCTTAGCATCTTGGCTGTGGGAGCCACATGTTGGGGTTGAGCTCAGAGCCTCTGAGTGTGTTGGTCTCAGATCAGCCTGTCTGGTCCTCCCACCTCAGATCAGGTAACTGAGACTCCTTAAGAGTAAGGGCCTTACTCAAGGTCTGGTGTTCTAATTCTAGTATTTTCAGTGTGGAGTTGAGCACCTCCACCCTCACTCCAGGGCAGGACTCCAAACTACCTGTCCTACTACCCCTGGCCTGGCACGGTCCAGCCCAGCCCCACCCAGCACAAGGCTATAGAGATGCACTGCTAAGCTGAACTAGTTCAGAACCACAAGGCCCTGGACTTCACATCAACCTATCACAATCCAGATGCCTCCAGCCAGACTGAAGAGGCAAGAACCCTGGGTTCAGGCTCCAGCTTGGAACTGCCCACGCTGTGCAATCTCGGTCAAATTGGTTCCCCTCTCTGAGCCTTGTGTTCTTCAGTGGTCAATTGGGGACAGTCACCACTACACAAGACAGCTCATGAGAAATGACAGGTGGGTGCTCCATGTGGCTAGCAAATCATGCTCTGTCCTGCTGTGAGGGCTGCATCTCCTGTCATGGCAGAGACACTGAAACACGTCTCAGCAGGGGGCCCTCCTGGGTGATCCAGCAGAGGGGCCATGGTCAGGACAGTCAGGGAAAGTTCCTGGAAAGGGCTGTGATCAGGTATGAAGAGAGGCAGAAAGAGTTCAGACTGGAAGGAAAAAGGGAGAATGGAGGACCCAAAGTAGAAAAAGGGACAAAGCTGAGGAATGGGATACAGGTGAGTCTGTGATTCTGAGACCGTCTCATTCCGAGTGCTTCCGGATTCTGGGTTCATTGGTACTTACAGTCCAATTGCAAGAGTCTCTGGTTCTTGGAGTAAATGCTAAATGTTTCTTTAATTCTGTTACTTGTTGCTCTTGAGATTCTCAGAACCACAGCAGTCTGGACCCTCAGAACAACATAATCATAAGTCATTTTCCCAGGAGCCAAAGTCTCAGCAAACACCTGCCAATGCCCCCATGGGCCTGACCTCAGAGGGACCCTGCAAATCCAGACTCAGATCAGACTCAGTCAAACCCTTGAAGAGCTCCAGTCTGAATGGGAAGAAAGCCACAGACATGGATCAAGTCTACTTGGGTGATCAAGCCATGACCAAAGGAAGCCCAGGGGCCATGGAGCTCATAGAACCCCTAATGAGCCTGGTAAGGTGGCCAGGAAGAGCTTCCCAGAGGAGGGGTCATTTGAGCTGGGTCCTGATAGATGATTAGGAGTTTGTTAGGTGGATACAGATGTAGGAGAGCATTGAAGGCAGAAGGAAGAGCAGGTACAAAGACTCAGTGGTGTGATAGTGTGGACTGTTTGCCTAAAGCCAGGGATCATGTGAGGCCGGAGTGGAGGGACAGGTGGCACAGAATGTGTATGTGCGAGGGGAAGGGCTGCAGGACTCACATGGAATGCCAGGCTGAAGAACTTGGCCTCTATCCTGAGGACAATGGGAAGCCATGGCAGGGCTTAAGCAGGGAAGGACATGGTCTGAGTTGACTTTTGTAGAGATAGTGCCACATGGGAGGTGGTTAGGAGGGGGGAGACTCCCCAAATGCAGGGGGAGAGGGGAGGGTCATGTGGGCCCCAAGAAGTCTGAGGGAGGCCCTTCTCCCATGCTCCAGGGCCCAGGCAGTGTCATTGTCAATACAGTAACAGTGACAGGGTACCAGGATAGAGGGCCAAGGAGGAAGTAGTTGCCCAAAAGGGCCCAGGCTGCCCACTCTCACAGCAGGAACTCTAGTTATTCATCCCGAAGCAGAAATGACTCAGGGCTAAGATATGCTGAGGCGAGGGAGTGGAGGAACTCCTCTGCTCAAGAACCAACTGTAGCTCTCCATGGAGCAAGGCCCTCCTCTTCCACTATCCGCCCACTTTCACCTGGTCATTCATTTCCCAAACACTTACTGGCATCTCTTTTAGCCCAACCTGTGTTGCGTGATGTGGACATAGAGAGAAAGCAGGCCTGGCCTGGCCAAGTCCTGCAACTGATCTCTCGGATGAGTACAGAGGTCAGGATGGGCCCCCACACCGGCCTCCCCACCGTCAGGCCTGAACGGCTGGGAGGCCAGGCCTGAGAACACGGGCATGCTAGACAGGTCCACAGAAGGCAGTTCAGGGAGAGGAACGATTTCATTAGGGGGACCTCTATCTCCTCTCACCAGATCAACAAGGCTTCCCTAGTCCTGAGGTTAGGCCTGAATGGGCATTAGATTATCAGCAGCTGGGTAATCAGGCCACAGCACGATGTAAAGACAGGTTTTCAGGGCATGATTCAAACTTCCTTCAGCCCGAAAGCCAGAGGGCCGGGCTGCATCTAGATGGGGCTTCTGTCTTGAATGGGGAGATCTAAGCTGGGGCAGGTAGGCAGGAGGCCAGCTTTTACCTTGGCGTTGTGACCTTGCTTCCTGAGCCCCTATTTGCTCATTTGCAAAATGGAGATAATAATTCCTCCCTAACAGGGGTGGTGGAGGGACATTTATAAATTAGTCCTAGTGAGCAGAGGTGGCACAGGCAGAGGAGGGCAGTCAACAGTTAAAATTCCCCAAACAGTTAACGTGATCCCTTGCTATTGCACCTATTTTCTGTTATTGTCTTCAAAATGCCTTTCAGTCTGTGAGTATCACACTTCTTCCCTGTGCACAAAGCCCTATCTTAAGAATCCTCATAGCATCCTGGCACTTGAAGAGGTAAGGACCATTGGCAGCCATTTATGAGGGTCTCCCACTATGATCCTCCAACCCATTTGACCAGATCTCAAGACAGCCCAAGGCAGGAAAGAGAGAAGAGTGACAAGCCGTCCATGCCAGGGCCTCCCCACTCACAAATTCTCAGCACAGGGCCTTACCGGTTCTAGCCTCCTTTTAGAGGCTGGTGAGGTAGGAATTGCCCCAAGGCCACCCGGCAAGTTGGGGGCAGAGCTGGGATGTGATCAATCACTCACTGGTCCCCTGGCTCCCTAAGGGGGAGGGAAAGTCCTAAGTGTTCTCAAATTCCTCAGCAGAAGCATCTGAGGGGTCAGGGAAGTGTTTAAACAAGGGGGTAAGGGCTCATAGTCGAAACAATGCCTGGGTGATTCTAGTATCAATATCACAAATGCCCTGACCTCCATGCACTTAGCACTACTCAATCCATTCTCCACCCTGCAGCCAGAGAGCTTTCTGAACTGTGCTCTGAACACGAATCTCTCCTGCTCATAAACCTTCCATGGCTCCCTATAGCCTTCAGATGAAATCCAAGTTTTCAGCCTGTTTACTCTGGGTCCTGTAGTGCCCCAGGACACACTGTTCTGATATCCTGTGCCACCCACTCTGATGACCTGGTTCTGGTTTCCCCTTCTTTGTAATGACATAGAGCTCCACTGTAGAAGGCCTTCATTGGAGAAGCTGGGCACAGGGCAGAGGATAGGCACTGCTGTTGCTTTCTCAGTTCAGTTCAGCCCTGTGCAGGGTGCTGGCAACACAGAAATAAGCCCCAGTTCCTGCCCTCCAGGGGGGCTCAGACCTGGGGATTGGAAAGGAGACAGACAGAGGCCATGATAGTCCAAGTGAGAGCAGGGCTGTCAGCACTGGGACTGCAAGATCCCAGAAGAACCCAAAGGAACTGGGGGATCAAGGAGGGCTTCCCAGAGGAGGAGACATCTGAGCTGGGCCGAACTGAGGAAGAGGAGAGGAGGGAGGCATTTCAAGCAGTGAGCTTAGCATACACAGTGATCCAGAGGCAAGGAACTGCCCAGTATGTGTAGCAGACTCCATGCAGTTACTAGCGGGTGAAAAGTCAGGTGGGAGAGGGGGCTAGAGAGCCTGGCAAGGATCAGTTCTTGGAGGCCTTGAGTCCCAGGCTGAGGGGTTCAGGCTGGGTCCTGTGGAAGTCCTGTGAAAGTTTAGCTCAGAGAACTGTTGGGATTTGGGTTTCAGGAAGTTCCCTCTAGGTCCTGGAGCAGTGATGGCGAACCTATGACACGCGTCAGAGGTGACACGCGAACTCATTTTTTTGGTTGATTTTTCTTTGTTAAATGGCATTTAAATATATAAAATAAATATCAAAAATATAAATCTTTGTTTTACTATGGTTGCAAATATCAAAAAATTTCTATATGTGACACGGCACCAGAGTTAAGTTAGGGTTTTTCAAAATGCTGACAGGCCGAGCTCAAAAGGTTCGCCATCACTGTCCTAGAGTCTAGGAACTGATCCCACCCCCACGCTGTGAGCCGGTCCAGGAAGACACTGGTGCTGAGCAGGACCCACACACCAGCTCCCCAAGAGCCCTCCAGTTCCCCATCGTTGTTATTTCCCTTTCGCAGGTGAGGCCACGAGGCTCGGAGTAGGAACATGCCTTGCCCAGGTCACACAGCGGCTAAGGCAGGATAGGAATAGAGATCTCTGATTCTCAGGGAGCTTTTGTGGGCTCTGTCCGCTCAAAGAATCTCCTTCCCAACCACTCCTACCCACTGAGATAACTGAGACTTTACTGGGGCCTCACCATGGCCCTCAAAAGCTCCCCATTACCCCAGCCTAGATCCCAAACACACCGGGCACCTAAGGCTGTGGCCCCAAGGATACGGAAAGGAACAGTTCTAGCCCACAGCAGGGCTTGGCCCTTACATCTGGCTCCAAGGGTCCCAAACCTGCACCCTGGTTGGGGAGTGGAGGGAGGGCACTGCCTTTTGCCAGACAGACCCTTCCTGCAGCACCACGGGCCAGATTAACAGTCCCCTGACAGCGGCTTAACTGTCCTTTCAGGCCACTGCCCCAATCACCCACACTGCCCCCCCCCCCAAGTCTTACCGACGCCCAGGCGGGGGCGGGCCACCCAGAGTGCCCCGGAATGAGCCGGCCTCTATGGGCTTGTGGGTCTCCAGCCACCACCCAGCGCCCACTCCAGAGCGCGCGTGTACACACACACACACACACACACACACACACACACACACACACACACACGTTCTACAAGTTCAGCTATTGACACTGCAGGGGCGCACGCTCTCACTCACCAACACACAGACGCTCCCAAATACGAGGACGCACACTCACGGGGTGTCCGTCCACA